TGAGCCCATAATGTGGAGTTAAACCATGAATTATAAGAAAAATATTAAATCTGCTTAATCTTTTGGATGTAGATTGCATTACATATCTTGCAAAGTATTAAAAACATTTCAAAATGAAGTAAATTTTATGTTTAAAAGATGTTACACCTATGAGAATGCTGCCATAAAAGGAGGAATTCCTCAAGGAGAAATCTAACTTTGTCTGAGGTGTTAGGAAAGTGCAGTAGAGAAGTGTTGATAGAGCTGAACTGAGAAAGAGGAAGAAGAGTTAACTACACAAAGATGTATGTGAATGGTTGTGTGTGCACAGATGTGCAAGGGCATTTTTACACAGTTAATTATATTTAAAACAGGTAAGGTTAAGGGAATGGAATAAATGTGGAAGATTATAGAATATTTGTAGGCAGCCCACAGTGACCTGGGTTGGGCTACAAGCAGGGAATGGTGTGGGAGCAGTAGAAAACAAAGCCTGGTATATAAGTTAAGGCCCCACTGCTGTGGGGTTTATAAGTAATTGAGCCTGCAGCAAAGAGTTCCTGTGTATTTCTGAATTTGATGGATTGGAACAGGCATAGTGCAGATAGAAAGACTCCCTAAAAGAGGCCTGAGGTGCTTAACTACTGCTTGCAGTGAAAATGGAAAAAAAGAAAAAGAATGAGGGAGATTGTGAACACAACATCTGTAGGAGCTGGCTGGAATAAAAAAAAGGCAAGCATGGTCTTGATCTTTAGGGGACAAGTACTGTTAATAAGAATAGTCATATCTGGGATACAAATACCCTGTGGATGGAATTGGTGGAGTTAAGAGAATTGAGGTGACAATAATATTGGAGGAAATTTAAACAGACAGTATTATATTTGCAATTTGGGTGAGGGTTTCATTGGTAGAAAGATTTTTTTTTTACCTTTAAACAATTTTTTATTGTTGTTCAGTTACTGTTCTGCCTTTTTCCTTATTTCTCTCCTCTACCCTGTACCTTTCCCCAATCCCACAGTTAACCCCCCCTCTTTGTCCATACCCATTAGTTCTCTATTCGTGTTCCTTTGTTTGCCCCTTCCCTTTCTTTTCACTGTTAAACCCTCCCAGCTCTCTTCTTGTCACTTTTTTTCTTTGGTTCCAAATCTCTAGCTCTATTTTGCTCATTTTTTTCTGGATTAGGCTCCACTTATAGGTGAGGTCATATGGTATTTGTCTTTCACTTCCTGGCTTATTTCACTTAGCATAATGCTCTCAAGTTCCATCCATGTTGTTGCAAAGAGTAGGAATTTCTTTTTTTCTGTTGTGTGGTATTCCATTGTGTAAATGTGTTACACTTTTTGATCCACTCATTTACTGATGAGCACTTAGGCAGTTTCCAGCACTTGGCTATTGTAAATAATGCTGCTATGAACATTGGGATGCATGGGTTATTTTGAACTGGTGATTCAGGATTCTTAAGGTTAATCCCAGCAGTGGGGTCATTGGATCAAAAGAAAGTTCCATCTTTAGTTTTTTGAGGGAATACCATGTTGTTTTCCACAGCGGCTATACCAGGCTGCATTCCCACCAACAGTGTACTAGGCTTCCCTTTTCTCCACAACCTTGCCAGAACCTTTTGTTTGTTGATTTATTTATGATAGCTATTCTGACTTGTGTGAAGTGGTATCTGGTTGTAATTTTAATTTGCATCTCTCTAATGGCTAGTGACATTGAATATTATGCCATGTGCCTAAGGGCCCTCTTTATGTCCTCCTTGGATAAGTGTCTGTTTAGGTCCTTTGCCTATATTATAATTGGATTGTTTGCCTTCCTGGTGTGGAGTTGTGGGAGTTCTTTATATATTTTGGAGATCAAGCTTTTGTCTGAGGTATCATTGGCAAATATATGTTACCATATGGTTAGTTCTCTTTCCATTTTGTTGATTTTTTTTAGCTATGTTGAAAATTTTTAGTTTGATGTAGTCCCATTTGTTCATTCTTCTCTTTATATCCCTTGCTCTAAGGGATGTATTGGTGAAAATACTGCTGTGTGGGATATCTGAAATTTTCCTGCCTATGTTTTCCTCTAGAACTTTTATGGCATCATGACTTATATTTAAGTCTCTTATCCATCTTGAGTTTATTTGATGTATGGTGTAAGTTGGTCGTCTAGCTTTTTTTTTTGCATGTACTTGTCCAGATCTCTCAATACCATTTATTGAAGAAGCTACTTTTCCTCCATTTTATGTTCCTGCCCCCTTTGTCAAATATTAACTGGCCATATTGACATGATTTATTTCTGGGATATCTATTCTGTCCCATTGGCTTATGTGTCTGTTCTTACACTGGTACCAGAATATTTTGATTACAGTTGCTTTGTAATATAATTTGATATCAGGAATTGTGATCTCTTCTTCTTTGTTCTTCTTTCTCAAAATTGCTGAGGCTACTTAGGGTCATTTTTCATCCCATGTAAATTTTTGAAATATTTGTTCTATATTTGTAAAATAAGTCATTGGTATTTTGAGTCATAGGGCTTGCCTTGAATCTATAGATTCCTTTGGGTAGTATGGGCAATTTAGTGACATTAATTCTTCCAATCCATGAATACAGTATATGCTTTCATTTATTTGTGTCTTCCTTAATTTCTTTCTTCAGTGTTCTGTAGTTTTCTGAGTATAGGTCTTTAACCTCCTTAGATAAGTTTACTGCTAATTATTTTATTTTTCTTGTTGCTATCATAAGTGGGATTTTTCCTAATTTCTGTTTCTGATATTTTATTGTTGGTACACAAAAATGCTTTTGATTTCTGAATATTGACCTTGTAACCCACTGTTTTGCCAAATTCACTTATTAGGTTGAGTAGTTGTTTGGTGGAGTCTTTAGGGTTTTCTATGCATACTGTCATATCATCAGCAAACAGTGATACCTTTACTTCCTCCTTTCCAATTTGGACATATTTTATTTATTTTTCTTGTCTGATTTCTGTGTCTAGAACTTCTAACACTATTTTGAATAGAAGTGGTGATATTGAACACCCTTGTCTTGTGTCTGATATTAAAGGGAAAGCTTTTTGTTTTTACCTGTTGAGAATGATGTTGGCTGGAGGTTTCTCATATATGGCCTTTATTACATTGAGTCATACTCTCTCTAGTTCCACTTTGCTGAGTGTTTTTTATCATAAATGGGTGTTATAATTTATCAAATGCTTTTTCAGCATCTATTGATATGATTACATAGTTTTTGTCTTTTATATTATGTGGTGTATTACATTTATTGTTTTGTGTATATTGTACCATTCTTGCATCCCTGGGATGAATCCTAGCTGATTATGGTATATAATTTTTTAATGTATTGCTGGATCCTGTTTTGGTAGAGAGATTTATTGGAATAATTACATGACTCATTGGAATACAGCCAGTGACAAAGTGGGCGGATCTTAGAATAGATTTTCAAGAACTTCGATCCTGTCTGAATGTGATTGCTTTATGTCACAGATTTAGCTTCAGTTTTGCAGGATTGGGGTTTAGATGCAGATGTGGTTGATCTTTACAAACCTAGATTAAGAAAACAAACCAATTGGTTTGGTTTTCATTTTAGGTTTTTGGAATGGTTTAATTCAATTATTGAGTTTATAGAGGCTATATAGTGTAGTAGTTAAGTTGGCAGGATCATGTTAAGTCCCAGCTTTGCATTTATTAGTTATGCATTCTTTGTTAAATCACTTAATTGTTCCTGACTTCACTTCCTTTACAAGTGAAGCCCAATCTTCAGAAAGGACTTCCTATTAAGTAATTTGTGGTGAGAATGCAATGAGTTCATATTGTAATGTGCTTAGAACAGTGTCTGACACCTGAGAAAAACACAATCAATGTTATTATGGTTTCGAAACAAAAAATACCAGATAATGTGAAACTAGATAAATAGAAATAGATTTTGTATGTTTTCTTGAAATTAAATGGAAGCTGAAAAGCACAATTTCTTGTTTTACTTAAGCTTCCTGATCAGAAATGAGGTTTAATAAAATAAGACCCTCTTAGGATGATGTCCCTACGTTCATCCAAAGGGATACAAGTGGCAGAATTTTCTTCCTTTTAAAGCTGAATAAAACTTCATTATTGTTGTGTGTGTATATACATATTTACTTGTTAATGGAAACAAGTTGTTTCCATATCTTGCATAGTGTGAATAATGATGTAATCCATAGCATGGGGATGCAGGTCCTGATTTTATTTTCTTCACATAAATACCCAGAAGTGTAATTCCTATATTATATGGTAGTTTAACTTTTGATTTTTTGAGGTACCTCCATAATTTTTTCTACAATGCCCACACCAATTTACATTTACACTGAAAGTGCATGAGGGTTCCCTTTTCTCTACATTCTCATCAGTACTTGTTATCTCTTAGGCTTTTTTTCCTGATAATAGAAAAAAGCATAAAATGAAGGTTTCTCTTTGTATAAGTGTGAGGAAGTTTGCATCTTCTTACTAATTTGCCTGACATAGTTCATTGATGTTCAGAAGCTATATCCCCAATAGGGGACGCATGAGAGGCAACCATACATTGATATTTCTCTCCCTCTCTCCCTCTCTCCTTCCCTTTCCCTCTAAAGATAAAAAGATAAAATCTTAATAAAAAACCTTAATATGGTTTGTTTGAGCCAGAAGTTTGTAAAACTCTTGTACTGTCATCTTGAATGATATTAGCTTAAACCATTAAATTAATTAGTTTAGGACTTCAGTAATAATTAAACTAATAAAGTAGTTTAATTGTTTTAATTAAAACAATTAAACACACATGTATTAGTTTCATAAAATGATATATTTCATGCAGTTGACAAATGCAGCTTATAATAGCATGTTCTTCACCATCTATGATTAGTATACTTCAGGTTTGATAAATACATGGAAGTCTGAGAGACAAGATATAAGATTGTTCTTTTATAAAATACCCTCTTATTTCTGAAAAAGAAAATAAAACAGAAAAGAAAAAATTTTATTAACACATGTGAGGCTTATAATAACTATGTTTGCCTTTCAGATCCCCAGCTCAAGGGTATTGTGACAAGGTTATATTGCAGGCAAGGCTACTACTTGCAAATGCACCCCGATGGAGCTCTCGATGGAACCAAGGATGACAGCACTAATTCTAGTAAGTGACAACCTCAGGCCTCCAGTTAACATGGTTGGTAGAAGATACACTGCTACTTAAATGATTTTTAAAAATATATTTGCAAATATTTTGTTTTATTGACTCATTTTTACAATGTTACACAATAGAATGACATTCACAATTCTACTTGGACCACATGGATGAAAATATTAATAGCGTAAAAACAGATACTTCTATTAATATTTTGAGTTTTTCCAACAATTGTCATAACTCACATATAATTGTTCCTTTTAGCCTCATAGTCATAGCAGTCTATTTGACTACATGAGAACATTCAGATAAAAGTTGATTACATGTTTATTTTGGAAGTGTTATTTTTATCAGGCCTATAGCTTATTAATGATTATTATGAAAACTGAAAAGCTATAAGGATTAGTTATTATAAATAATAAAAATTTAATTTTTAATATTTTTGGCATTCAGCAAGAAAAGATCTACCTTTATAGAGAGGATATGAAGGCTGTGTGCCTCTAAATACTTTGCATATAATGTTTAACTATGTTATAGAATTTGGTATGTGACAACATATTTTGGTAAAAAGCCACATGTCTGCTATTGTATTAATGTCTTTCTTCCTTTTACTATTTATTTATATATAATTTTTCTTTGTGATTTTATTCTAGTGTCTTTCCTTATTCAATTGCACATGTTTTTTTCCCATATTCTGTTTATACAGGCATCTGATTTCTTTTAATTTAGCACACCGTTTTAAAATAGACACACTTGCTACTGCTAAGCAATATAGGTGAAAAGCAAAAACTGATTTTATTAGAAAGAAAGGGAAAGATCAAGTCAAGGAATATGTATAAAGTCTCCATGGATGAGACAATGGGTAGAGGGGACTGAATGTAGGAGGAAGGTGGGACAGGGGATGGTAATAGGGGAAAATTCAGACAATTGTAACGGAACCAAAGTAAAAAATATTTTTTAAAAAGAAGTGTGTAATCATATATTGCCAGTCAATCAGGAATGGATCTGAGTCTTTTCATCCATTTATCATTTATTCTTTATATATTATTTATTCTTTTCATTCCATGTAAAGAAGGTAGGATTTTCATGCATGTAAACAAATTATGGGCATTTTGTATTTTAAATTCTAGTAATCCAATTTTCAATAACACTGATTCTGAGAGCACCTAATAATGTACAATAGACTTTTTCTCATTTGTTGCTGCTATGTGAAATATCAGTATTTTACAGTCATAGCATTTATTTTTAAACTTTGGATATTGCTTTATTTTTATTTTTTCTTCAACTTTAAATTTTTCTTTGTTTACTTACATTTTACTCTTTTTCTATTTCTAATCTTTTTCTCTTTTTGTGTTTCGTATATTGTCCTTGTATTTTTAAACTTTTCCATATCATATTTATCAGTTTTTTACTTTCTTTCCTCTTTTAAGAAAAGAGGTAAATTAATACAGACACAAGAAATAAAGAGGAGTTATTTTCATGATAAGACCAATGACATTGTTTACTTGTTGGGATTTTGATATTAGATTGAACCTTTAAATTATTAGTACTTGACAATATTTGATCTATTAAAAATGTCAGTTTCTTCCGGTTCAAGCTCACCCATATATCTGCTCAAGTTTTTTTTCCTTGCCTTTACCTTACCCATTCTTTGACAAAAGCTGTTTTGTTTTACTTATGTGTTACAGTTGTGGCAGTCATGAACTTTTAGATATTCTTAAGTTTTGATTTCTTCAATGACCTCAGATTTCCTTTTGCCACAGTCTGGCAGAGTACGTGGACTAGTTTTACATAACTCTGATTACTCTAAGATCTATGACACTCTGACTTAACAGACTAGATGATGGTGTCACCTATTATGACAAAAGTTTTCAAAAAAGGAAATAAAATACAGTTGTAAGAAATGCTGTGTAGTTGGACTTCTTGGGAAAATAATTTCCTTCAAATAAAGGTGTTATGAATTTTCCCTACCTTTTTGGTTTTTATAATGCCAAATATGTTAGTGACTTTTAATGACGACAATCTATATCAAATTCAGAATGGTCAAGTAGATGCTATCTTTTGAAAACATTTTGCTTCAGAATTGAATAAGTGGCACAGTATTTCCTAAATTGTGAAAATGCATATGTTTGCATACACACATGATTATATCTGGCTATCTGAATGATATTCAATACTAAACTGGAAACCTCAGATACTAAAAGATACTTGACCTTCTGTTCTCTAAATGTATGAGGTTTTATTTGTACTATTTTGTAACTGTAGTAGAAGCAACAGAATCTGAGTATAACTCTTGAAATCAGCTCTTATCTCCCTAAATACTGATGAGGAACAGCTCTGGGCAAGAAGCAGGAACAGGAGCACATGTGTAAAAGCAAATCAAAACCAAACTTTAGTGTCCGCTCTTGAGAAACTAACTTTCTACACAAGATCTGGCCCACAGCTTCTTTTTCTTACAAGTCACATTCCCTTTTTGTGTAATTTCATCCAGTTAGGTCAGTTTTCTTACCATTTCAACATTTGTAAAGATAGTAGGATAGTATAAAGCAGGGTGAGATGCAGGTTCTGTTTTCAAAAGGCTATGAAAATTGTATAACTGTAAAACTTAATAAAACTTGGCAGAATTATAGCAGCTTTATAAAAGCAAAATAATTATTAATTAACTCTACTTTTGTGTATCACCTTTTGAATTGAAATGTACAGTTTTTATGATAAATTTTAAGATTTTTTCTCTGTTTCCTTACAGTAGTTTTATGAATCTTAACAAAATTGTTAGCACAGAAAGGTACTCTCAAATGAGAGTGAGCATTAAAGATATTGACAGGTCCCAATTAGACCACTGTCCTTATGGTTTGAGGAAGGGTATGATATAATTATTCAACAATGTGTTTTAGTTTTTGATAATTCACTGAACACAAAACAAGGATTGGTGGTCCATAAGGAAGAAAAATAATGAAAAAATATCCCCAAAGCTTCCCTGACACCACCTAAAAATTACCAAATAAGAAACCTGAGACTTAAGCCTTCAAATCTTCATGATTTAAGTTTAAAACATATCCCACTAATAAATATAAAATTATTACAACTAGATAAAGTCAGAATCACCCTGTTAAGCTGCATTTGTCAAAAATTTTACAAGTTCAGAAGAGGAAGAAGGCCAATAGGCAGATGAACCTGACATCTATATCTTCCCAGTGTTGCCAACCTGAGATTTAGAAATCTCTTGAAGAAAAAAATGGCAAGAAAATGGTTGATGATGGATAATTAACCTAATAGAGGGGATACCTTAGCAACTTGACTATTTATCATTGGCTTCTGTATACCTTGGAAAGATCTTTCACAAAATAAAGTGAACACCCTGGTTACATCATGACTTACACTCATTTTCAGGGGTGAACTTGTTTAAAATTCATAGAACTTCCCTTCTGTTAACTAAACATCAACATCACCATGAACTAGGGTATTTGATTAAGGAGCAGTTTACTTTCTCTCAATTTACTCTTGGGGATTCCCTGGGGGTTTTCTATGCTGCTAAAGTGCATTGTTCCAGTTATTAGACTCAATAGATACTGCAAGCATAATAGAATTATAGAAATATCAATGTCCTAGTACCTATAGCAATGTTAAAACCTCAAACAAACCAATCCTTCTCATCTTAGAAATTACCAACATAATATCTTGATGTGCCAAAAATTGCCAATAGCCCACAGTGCCCACCACCCCACAAGCCTTAAGATAGTGGTTCTCATCTTGGCTATACTTCAGTATCATTTGAGGAGCTTTCAAAAAAATGTATGCCCTAAACTCATTTCCTGATATTCTGATTTTAGTTTGGTAGGACTTGGTAGGGCTGTCCTAATTTTAAAGTACAGCCAGAGTTGAAAGTCATTATGATGTGGAGAACCAGACAGAGTATTCCATAGAATAAATAAAATAGCATGGACTCCTTCATTACTATTACTCCCCTAAGCTTTGTGACATTGCTTTATGATTACGTAAAATACAAAAAGAATAAAAAATAATGATTTCTCAATTAATGTGGGGATCTCTGGTTTTAATTAGCACTATGGGTCCATCATGGTCAGATCTGAAAGGACTTCCATATGCATTACATTCACTTATTATCACTTTATAAATCATAATAACTTACATTTATAATTCAGCTCCAAAACAAATTTCTGGAAGAAAAACTCAGAGTGGTATTTTTCAGTATGGTTATTTTAGACTATCTTCTATAATTTTTATATTTCCCATGTCTCATTATTTTGATGAGACCATGGTGCATTTAACTTCTAGAATTGTACCATCTGGTCTATACCAAATGTGGAACCTGCAATACATTAGTTTAGAATAATTAGGATAAAGTTTAGAATAATTAAGTTTAAATAGGTTAGTTTAGACTAGTTTGCATGAGCAAACATACAAATATGTTTTCTCCAAAACCCTTTTGCATATAAATCAGGAATTATCTTGGTGCACATCCTTTCAAAGTATAGAACAGTTCAGATGTTCTAGAGGGAAGTGAAAATCCTCCTCTAGAAAGGTATACTTTCTAGAAGGAATACAGAGAATTACAATGGCACAAGTACCTCATAGTAATCATGAACTCCACACTCATGTTTAATATTAAATAATATAAATAAGAAATCATGAGCCTCATTCCTCTGTAAGGATATCATAAACCCCTAGAATCCTACAGAAGATGACCCAACGACAACTTGGATTATGAAAGCTAATTATTTACCTAACCATATATGCCCCTGAGTATTCTTCTAGAGAGAATTATCTATAGCCATGGCCTGCCATTTTCCTTTTATCACTTGTGTGACACAGACATCTTTGGGGAGTGGGACCAGTAACATGTAATACCTGGAAGGGAAGGTGTTAACTTTCTCCACCCTAATCAAAAAATATATGCCTGCAAATTAAATCAAGACCAATTTATAGAGTCCATTTTTAGCCATGTACTAAGTAGACCCATAAATCGAAGTAAAAATTGCTCACATTTTTCAAATTATTTGTCTTTTGTGAAATACAGTTGATAGCCTAAACCTGAAAATATTTTACTTATATATTTATTTCAACATTTTACTACTACATTGCCTATTCTGGCATGGTCCTATTGCTCAGAATTAGATGTGAATTTAAAAATAACTTGTATGGGAGAAGAAAACCACACTGTGAATAATTAATAGTCCTCTTAGAAAGACATCAGATATATAGTCTCCCAAATCATCAAGTTATTACTAAAGATGATACTAGAATACACATTAAATAGTCAACCTGGGACACTGGCATGGAAATGTGTTAAAGAAATGTTAAGACTTTAAAAAAATCAATATAACATTGTTTTCTGCAGTAGGTTAAAAATATATAAAAATACTTTGTGTCAATAAGGCAAGAAACAAAACACGGAAACATATAAAATGTTCTCTCTGATAGGTAAAACTAAGCACTTTTCCCTCTTTCATTTTAGTTTGCACTGATAGTTCTATGAAATATTAATAAAGAAAATTGACTTTCTAAAATTCATATTGCATTCAGTTTGATTAGTTCTTTCTAAATTTAACACACTAGCAGATGCACATATTTTCTGGGCTCTGCTAGCATATCATATTGGTTCAGCAAGAGTAACTGAGTTTTGGAATTACCTTTTTAACTCTGGCCTATCCTCCATTGTAATGATAAAGTGTACCTTCTGCATGAAAGACCAGAATGCACAGCCAGCTTGGACTTTTAAAATTCTACTCTTTGAGAAACTTCACAGCTAATTATTTTTGGCATCAAGTGGTGTCAGAGATTGTGATACTAGAATCATGATGACAAGCTTGATTCTTTTCATTTTTTCCACCAGCTCTTCAAAATGCTATAGGAAGACTGGATGGAACTGGAAAGCATTATGCTGAATGAAATAGTCCAGGCATTGAAGGACAAATACCATATGATCTCACCTTTAACAGGAAGCTAAATAACAAAATAAACAAGCAAATAGAATAAAAACAAAGACACTAAAATAGAGAACAAGTGGGCAGCGACCAGAGAGGAGAGGGAAGGGAATTTAAGGGGAAAAACAAGGAGGGATTTTGAAGAACAAGTATGAAAGACACAGGGATGAGGTCTGTGGGGAGGGGGGGTGGGAGGGAGGTGGGGAGACGGGGCGGAGGGGGGGTTGGGATGGGAGAAATTGACAAAAGAAAACTGTACTTGAAAAATAACTCAATAAATTAAAAAAAAAAGATCTGAAAACTGAAGTTCCAGTATCAATTTAATTCATAACAAAAACTTCTTAATTCAAAGAGAAATAAACAATTGGGACTTCTCAGAAGTTTGTAACAGAGATGATGTTTCTTAAGTAAAATAAATGAGAGAGAGAACAGTAATGGCAGTGCTATGCTTCTTTCTGCCCACTTGTGACAGAACATGTTTATCTTTCCAGCACTGTTCAACCTCATACCAGTGGGACTTCGTGTTGTTGCCATCCAGGGAGTGAAGACAGGGTTGTATATAGCCATGAATGGAGAAGGTTACCTCTACCCATCAGTAAGTAACATGCCAAAGGTGTTGGTCCTTCATTCAATGTTTGCAAAATAACAATAACAGCAATAATAAAATAAGAAAATTCTGTGTCCATTGAATATGCCATTTTTGGTCTTTACTATAGTGTTGTAACAACTGTTTATTCATTATTTATCAGTTTTGTTAATATCAGTAAATCAAGCAGAAGAGCAATATTGCCTCTTAAATTGTATATTTGCATATTTTAAAAAGTAACCTAGTTCATAGAAAATTGAAAGATTTTGAGTTAATTTCAATGTGATCTTTTTATTTCTATTTAGAAATATATTTAGACAGTATCTTATAAAATAAAAAGTTAGTATGATTTATAAATATAAAAGAAATTTTAAGAGAGAGTAGTTCTTTTAAAATAAGAATTTAAATTGTATAAACATTTTACTAGAAAAATACTTCTAATATCAACATGTAAATTGCTTTTAACTCTAAGTAAGTCTCATTTTGTGTTAATATAAACTGAAGTTGAACACTTTTCCAGCCATATAACATCTTCTGGAATATTTACTATTTACAAATAACTTGCATTCAGATGTGCTGTATTCATACATTATAATGCTATTAGAATTCATTTCTTCCTCAGGTTTCAGCAATAGAAACTTAAATGTAACTATTTATTTCTGTTAGACTTTGAGCAAAAATCAATAGATTGAAGACAGTGCCTCAAAGAAAAATGCTCTTATTTGGGTTTGCAAGCCATCTTTACATATATTCTTTCTTTTTCTTTTCTATTTTATTTTTTCCACTAGCATTTGTTACCCTTATACCACCCTCCCCTCCATAATCACCACACTGTTATCCATGTCCATAAGTTCTTTTTTCTTTTTGCTAATCTTTCTACCCCCAACACCTCCTTTCCACCATAGCTGTCATCCTGCTTTCTATGAGTCTGTCTTCATTTTACTTGATAATTTATGTTATTCATTAGATTCCACATATAATCAAAATCATATGGTATTTGTTTCTCTCTGACTGGCCTATTTCACTTAGCATAATGATCTCTAGTCCATCGATGCTGTCACAAAGGTTAACATTTTCTTATTTTTTTATGTCTGAGTAGTATTCCATTGTGTAAATGTCCCATAGTTGTTTTATCCACTTGTCCATTGGCAGGCACTTGGGCTGCTTCCATATCTTGGAAATTGTAAATAATGTTGCAATGGCAATTCCTATCAAGATTCCTGATATATTGCACAGAATTAGAATACATATTTCAAAAATGTGTGTGAAACCAAAAAGACCCTGCATAGCAACTGTGATCTTAAGAAAGAATAATAAAGTTACAGGAATCATGCTACCTAATACCAAACTGTATTATAGGGCCATAGTAATCAAAACAGCTTTGTACTGGAATAAAAACAGGGATATAGATCAATAGAACAGATTGGAAGCCCCAGAAATAAACCCCATACATTTATAGTCAATTAATATTTGACAGAGGAAGCAAGCACATTTCATGAGCTAAAGATACTTTATTCAGTAATGGCACTGGAAAAATTGGACATATATGTGCAGAAAAATGAAACTAGACCACCAACCACCTTGTTATACCACACATAAGAATAAATTCAAAAAAGATTAAAGACTTTAATGTAAAACCTGAAACCATAAAAATCCTAGAAGAAAACACAGGCAGTAGAATCTCAGACTTTGCTTGTAGCAATATTTTACCTGATATATTTCTTCAGGCAAGGGAAACAAAATTAAAAAATTAACATATGGAACTTTATCAAACTAAAAAGTTTTTGCACAGCAAAGGAAACCATCAACAAAAAGACAACTCACAGAATGGGAGCACACATTCACTGATATATCTGATAAGGGGTATATCCAAAATTTATAAATAACTAATAAAATTCAACACCAAAAAAAACCCAGACAATCCAATTAAAAAATAGACAAAGGACCTGAATGGACACTTCTGCAAAGAGGATATACAGATGGCCAATAGACATATGAAAAGATGCTCAACATCAATCATCATCAGATATATTCAAATTAAAGTAACAATGAGATATCATCTCACACCTGTCAGAATGGCTGTCATCAATAAATCAACAAACAGCAAGTGCTGGTGAGGATGTGGAGAAAGAGAAATCCCTTTGCACTGTTGGTAGGAATGCAGATTTACACAGGCACTGTGGAAAGCAGTATAGAGATACCTTAAAAAATTAAGAATAAACCTGACATGACCCAACAATTCCATTTTGGGGAAATTACCCAAAGAAACTTAAAACACTAATTTGAAAGAACATAGCATACACATTCTTTAAAACTCTGTTGTTAAATATGATCATCAAAAACACTACATACATAGAAACATGTGCATAGGTGCATTCACATGCACACAACTTAAATGTTGTGACCTCCCATAACATTTGATATGTTTTCTTTAAGAATTCTGGGAAATCTTGTCAAGGAAAATAAAATGTGAGCTATGGATTTCCTTTGTGGTGAGTTGGAAAACTCTTTTGTTAATTTGGAATCTTCTGAGTTCCCTGAAGGATGTTCTCGCAAACAGACCTGGGCCCCACATTATGCAAATTGCATTCTGTTGCAGAAAATGAATATTCAACATACTGCTAGCAAGATTAAGCTAGAATTCCCTATCCTCTCTCTTTGGCAAAAATTCGATTCAGATAAGATTCTAAAAATACCTTATTTCAGATACAAATCAATAAAATTGATTTGACATTCATGCAGTTATTTTTGTTTTTCTTCCTGCAAGTAATTTTTGAGATGCTTACAAATTATTGGATTTAGTATCTACCATAACCTCTAGTCCTTGGTTTCTCTTGATGATTTTATCATTTGCTGTGCTCTGGTATATGTGTTGATTCAGGAGGAATTTAAATGTTTGTTTTGCTACTGAGAAAGATGCTTTATAATATTTGTGATAAGGTTGTACAAGTATGCCATTTTTTAAAGGTAGAAGTATGTGTGTTAGCCTAAACTACAAGTGCTGGTTATATTCAGGGTAATCTAAGCAGTGCACAGGAATAAAAGTGAAGAAAGTACTAACTGCCTGGTTCAGTCCTCAGCATCTTAAATATGGCCTCCTTGCTCAGGAATCAGATCTGTTGGCCACATCTTCCCTAGGATTTGTCCCGGTAACAACTTCAAGCATATTCTCTAATCCATTTATTTCTACTCTTACCTCTCTGATTCTCCAGTTACTTGGCTTCTGGACCACACTTTCAGTGGCTTGATTCTCCTATTTGCAGATCTTGATTATCTCTTTTTCCCATCTTTGACTTTTCACTGAACCCAGGATATGGTAAGAGGCACTCTATTGACCCAGCTCTGATGCTAAGACATCCCCTCTGCCCAGGCCATGTCCCTGGAATCCTCAGCTCTCTTGAAGGAAAGGAATTAGATAAAAATCAAATGTAATTTCCAGTTTTGACTAACACTCCTTAGTTAAAATATTTTGTGAACTTTAAAAACTGAACATTAAATATTTAACTAAAAAAAGGTTTTTGCATATTTACTCATTTATTTCACAGTTACTGAGAGCCTACTAAAATAATAATATAACAACACAATATACAATTATTATACTATATAATATTTCTACTAATAATGATAATAGCTATATTTATATAGCTATTATATAAATGTTATATATATAACTCTGATACATATATATAAATCTTTATATATCTATATAACTTTGCCTAGCACGGATTTAAGCACTTTATAGCTTGGCTCATTTAATCCTTGCCAACCTATAAAGAAAATGTTAAAATGATGATACTGATATAAAGAATGTTAAAGAATTTGTGCAAAGTCACCAGGTAAGACATAGAAAATGTTAAAATGATGATACTAATGTTAAGAAAATGTTAAAATGATTAAGTGAATTAAAAAATTTGTGCCAAGTCACAAAAATAAGACATAGAAAATAAAAGATTTGAGCACTACTAGTCTGACCATGGCTTACATTTTTAACTGTTTCATTACATAGTATGGCTTCCACATGCCAGAAATTTTTGTAATATAGTCTGGCACATATCCTAATAACTTATAAAAACATGATGATGTAATGAAAACCTTTAGATATTTTATATCTGAGAAAGAAACCTCATTTTAATTATGAGAAAATATAATTTGAACCAATATGTTTTCTTCAGAGAGTCTCAAATAAAACAGTGAAAATCATAGAAAATTCTATTTATTCAGGTAATGTTTGATATTAAATATCAGGTGTTAAATATTCTCAACACTTATTATATGTAATGTTTGAGTTTAAAATTTAAAACCCAGGATGGCTAACCCAACTAAGAAGTGTTGAACTAGGTTGAGTAAATTTTTTAAAAGAACTGTAGTCAAGCTCAGGTTTAAATAAAAAGTTAATAAACATTTAAGTCTGGGAAATGAGGAAATTGTTTTAAGGTTATGCCCACTTTGAAACTATCAACTTGTTTGTGCAGTGTAAACCAATGTCTAATATGGGACTAATTATATTGAGAATTTAGGCAAGAAAATATTCAGATCACAGTAAATTGTTAAATAAAAATTATGCTAGTGATTTGACTTAATGTATATAAGTTCCTCTGTTTGTATTTCAGGAAGTAACTCTCATAATCCCTTGCCATCTAAATAAAGATATTTAATTTGTCAGATAATTCCACCTCAAGGTAACAAATAAGTTATCTTGTCTGGGATGTAAATAATCACATTTCTAATAATTAAGCTGCTTATTCCCTGTGGAATCTTTTCTTTAATATGACAGAGTGATCTCTTTTGTGTTCAAAATGATTGTAATATATTAATTACAAATGTGTATCAAGAAAATTAATGTCAGATATGAACAGTTTGTTTGAAGGTAGAATGCTGGCCACAAGGTTGCAGAACAGAAACTGACAAATAAATACTTTGTTAAAAATGAGTTTAAAATGGGGTTTAGAGTAAAAATGTATTTTGATCAACTATAAACTCTTTATAGTACTGTGCTGAACTCTCAAGTT